TGGGAGCCACTGGTCTAGGTAGAATTAATAAGTAGAAATCTTTTCATTAGTCTAAGATAGGACTTTATCCCTACCCCACTTTTATCCTGTTGTCTTCAGTTTTAAAGGGTCAAGAAATAGACTAGGCAAGCCTAATAACTATGAAACAGGTAAAAGGAATTTCACAAAGAAATATATACAATATTATCTCATTTAAGGTGTTTTACATATACTTAGAATAAGAATCAAGAGGACATACAACAGAATATAAGTTATCTTTGTATTATAGAGTATAGCTTTTGTGCTTTTATTATACTTTTATGTTTTTTGCTTTTATTATATATTTATTCTTTTCTCGAAGATATGACAATCATAGAGAATGCTATTTTAACATTTTTATTTTAAAAAGTCTAGGCAAGTTAAGTCAAAACAATTTTGCTTTACAGTTCCAGACAAAACATTTCTCAAACAACATGTCTACAGGTAGAACTGAGCAGAAATCTGATGCAAATTTTAAGGTAGCAAAGGAGAGAGATACAATATGAAAGCATGAAACTAAGGTTTTCCCATCTCATTTACTCACCCATTGGACTTCTAGGCTCATTTAAAGTCAGCAACAGCAGTCTTCAAATTACTGAAAAGCAACCTAAGCAACTGGTATCATCATAATTCACAAATCAGAGATGTCATTTACAGCAAAGCTAGTAGGAGACAAATAATATACATTGTTCAGCTGCACATCCTCCAAATTAGTGATATATTGGAAAAGTATTGGGTATTGATACCAGATTCTCATACTTGCTAGGAAATGATCTATGACTTGTGCCACATCCCAGTCCAAAGTCAATATATGAATTTCTTTCTTTTTAATATGGTGTATGTTTTGTGTTTTTAGTACAGATGGACAACAGCTTAGTTCCTTATTGATGATTTAGTCTGTTTTCAATATTTTGGCGCCCATATACAATGCCAAAAACATTCATCTACAGTTTCTAATGAGTTTGTATAAATATGAATTCAGGGGCTGAGAAGTTGGCTCAGTGGTAGAGCGCTTGCCTTGCATGCCTGAGGCCCTGGGTTCGATTCCTCAGCACCACATAAGCAAAAAGAATAAAAGCCGGAAGCGGCGCTGTGGCTCAAGTGGTAGAGCGCTAGTCTTGAGCTGAAGAGCTGAGGGACAGCGCCCAGGGCCCAGAGTTCAGGCCCCATGACCGGACTCCCCCCCCAAAAAAACAAAATAAATATGAATTCAAAGCAAAGGTTGAATTATACAGTATGAATATATTTTTTGTGAGCTTTATTGTTGCAATGTTTCATCCTGTGTCCTTGTTTCAGCATTTTGTTATTCCCCTTCCCCTCCCTACTTTTGGGATTTCTTGCTCGCTTAAGTATATAACCACTATTACAAGTTCATACAATTTTTGGCTCATTGTGAATGTCTTTTCCCAGAATATATATTGTCTTTGTATTGTTGGTATTTTTTTTTCTTTTATAACTTTTGGGATTTCTTGCTTGCTTAAGCATATAATCACTATTACAAGGTTATACAATTTTTTTGTCAGACTTGATGTTACATTCCTGTAATCTCAGCAGTATAAAGGCCAAGACAGGAGGATCAAGTTTGGGACCAGCTTGAACTACATAGTGATTCCCTATTTCAAAAAAAATCTTATACAGTTGGGTGATGGTGGTTCATACCTGTACTCCTAGCTACTCATAAGGCTGAGATCTGAGAATTACAGTTGAAAGCCAGCATGGGCAGGAAAATCTATGAGACTATCTCCATTAACCTACCAAAAAAGAAAAGCCAGAAGGGGAACTGTGGCTTAAGTGGTAGAGTGCTAGCCTTGAATGAAAAGAAGTTCAGAGACAGTACCCAGGCCCTAAGTTCAAGCTCCAGGACTAGCAAAAAATTTCTTATGTAATTCTTTATTTTCATTGCAAATTTTAATAATTATTTTCAAATTTTTTGTGTTGGTCCTGGGGCTTGAACTTGGGCCTGGGTTCCATCCCTGAATTTTGTTTTTGCTTAAAGATAGCACTCTACCACTTGAACCACAACTCCACTTTTGGCTGTTTTGGTGCTTATTTGGAGATAAGAGTCTCATGAACTTTCCTGCCCAGGTTGGCTTTGAACCAAGATCCTCATATTTCAGCGTCCTGAATAGCTAAGATTATAGGCATGAGCCATGGGTGCCTGGCTTATTTTTCACATTTTTATATTTAATCTTCCTAGGATACATTTTTATGAATATGGTAAGTAGATATCTTTATTCATTTTCTTTTGATTCAGTTGTCTAAGTTTCTTGATTCTTAGGTTAAAATAAAAATAATTGTCTTCAAATGTGTTAAATCTTCAAACAAATACACTTATAAATCGATGTTTCCTCCTCATGATTATTTTCTTTATAAAATTTTTATGATTATTTTCTTAGAAAAAATTCCAATCAAAAAGAATGTTGGGTAAAGGAGTATGTAAAATATATAACTTTTGCATGCTATTGTGAATTGAAGTATACAAATATATTTAGCAATCACTTGTCTCACTGAATATGAGAATGCCTATATCCTCAATAAAGTTGAATGTTGCCAGTATACATACATTTACCTCTTGTATAGAGATGAATACTTTGCTATTTTTATTGTCTTTTTGCATCCTATTAAGAGTAAATGTTTGTTTTCACGTAAGTCTATTTGATAGATACTCTATCTTCTTTTCAGAATTTTCAGGTTATAGTAACGATGGTTTTCACTGTTAGGAGCCTCTAATTATTACTTTTAAACCCAGGGCATCTGTGATAAGAAAAAGGTTCCTTTTCTACAGCTTAGTTGAGAGTCCATGATGAGGGTTTATAAGGCAAGAAAGAGGCTATCATTTCAGAGGAGCATCAGCATGGAAGATTTCCAGGCCAAATGAACAGAGATTCAGGCTCAATGTGTTTGTAAGAGTATGATTAAGTGAGTAAGATATATTGGCATTTTACATTTTATTAAGTAATACGTACTCTAGATGATTATAATGACCCTTAGCAATGTAGACGTGACTTTTAAAAGAGATACCAGTTACAAAATAATACAATCATTTCATGGACTGAATGTGGGAAATTCCTGTTGAGTTCCTTTTGAAAGTGTAAGGTAGTTTCTAAGTGAAGTAGTTATTTTCCCCAATTATATATAAGTAGAAGTAAAACTATGTACTAGAATTCTAATTAAATAAGTATTTATCAAATATCCACTACATGTTAATCACAGAATTAATAAATGAGACTATAGTGAAAATATATTGTATTTGTTTTATCATGTAGAATGTAAAAAGTTCAGTTAGAAAATAGTGCTCTTAAATATGTGTGTGCTTTGTAGTTTAATATATTAGTTTTCCTATGTTAGTATCTATGTCTTACAAAACATATGTATGTACATATAATCTTAGTTCCACAAAGCAGTTTTACATGGTTCAAGAAGAGATGGGGGGGCTGGGAAGGTGGCTCAGTGGTAGAGCACTTGCCTTGCATGCTCGAGGCCCTGGGTTCGATTCCTCAGCACCACATAAGCAAAAAGAAAAAAGCCAGAAGTGGCGCTGTGGCTCAAGTGGTAGAGTGCTAGGCTTGAGCTGAAGAGCTGAGGGACAGCGCCCAGGCCCAGAGTTCAGGCCCCACGACCGGACACCCCCCCAAAAAAAAAGAAGAGATGGGATGGCAAGTAGGAATCTGTTCTCTTAAATCTATTCCCTGCATCACATTCTGTAGTATAAATGTCCCCTGAGAATCTGATGAAACAATGTTAGACCTTCCATCAGTGTTCATGGAGATTTTTCTCACAGGATGAACATGAAACCTTTAGTCCCTGAACTTAAGAGCATCAATATTGAGTATAGTATGATATATTTCATCAAACTGGTACCTTGTTCCACTCCTAAATGGATTCATCACATAAGACACCTAAGGAGGTGAAAGGTCCTGTGATTTAAAACATTTGCCATTTTGATAAGGACTGTGAAAACATTGTGGCCCCAGCACCCATAGAGCCGTCCTATCTGTTTAAGTGTCATTATACAGCAGAGAGAAGTTTGAAAAGAGTATGAGTTGAACTCACTGGGAACTCCAGGAAATTTAGTGAGATTCTTGACACTCAAAAGTCCCAAATGCACTAGTAGCGAGTGGAGATGTTGACATCCCAGAGCCAAGGACCCATGGAAGTAGGAATAGAGATCAAAAGCACAGGATTGGAATGGAAGCTCCCACTTTTGCCTATGGGATATGTTCCTGAGCAGTTGGAATCACACCATGTCCTCCCTCAAATAATTGATAGTTTTATAGCAGGTTGGGGTTCTCTATTGCACAGGCAAAAGCAAGGTCCTATCAAATACAGTTCAGAATCACTGACAGTTCTTTCCTACAGCAGCACTGTGAGGCAAATACTTTCCCCATGAAAAGATCAGGCCTTCAACATATGTTTCTTATAATAGTTGCCAGTTTATTTCTCTGGTGAAGAGAGCCAGAGGTAATTTACAGTTTACATTTTTTATACTTCTGTTATTAAATGTGTTACTGCCTTTCAAAAGTGACTGACAGGCTTTTTCATTGTGCCTAGTTTGTGTGTGTGTGTGTGTGTGTGTGTGTGTGTGTGTGTGCAAGTAATACACACACAAATATTCATTTTTGGAAATGAGAAGATGTAGACAGGCAATACAGAAAGAAAATGCAGATCACATAGAGATTCCTTGTTAACTTTTGGTGTACAATAATTCAGACATGTCATGTTACATGATGTCATATATAAATGTACACATACATTGGTAGCGTGTTGTTTTTACTTTATAATACATGATTAGATGAGCATGATTTCCTGTAAATGGATGAGACTGAATTAAAAGATGAGATGTTAGCAATAAAAGTTGTGTGCACATGTAACCACTCAAGAATTAGAGTATAAGGATAGCAACTATTTAGCAAGAAAGTGAAGATACAAAAAAAGCAGGGGTAATATTAATAACAGAACATAAATGATTAGTGAGAGATGCCTTAAATGGGAAAAGGAAGGTCTCGAGAATGCCTGTGGTTAAAATGCAGAGCCCTAAATTTTTTTCTCAGACCTCTTATCTCTTCTAAGCACCTTTCCATCTCATCTCCCTCTCCTGCCACTTCCTCATCCTTTAAATGCCTGTAGTCCATGTCCTCTTTAAATTCTTCGAGAGACTGAAGCAGCCTTTGCCTAAAATTCCCTTCCGTTTGCTGGCGTTCAAATCCTCCACAAAGATGTTCATCTTCCCTTTTTGGCATGGTGCACTTGGGCTTTCCTTCATTTTCTTTGCAGGATTTTTGCATGATGTCGTCTTCTGCTTCTTTTAGGGAGAAAATGTAGATATCGATTGCTTCGGCACTTTGGAATCAGGGTTCTCAGTCTCTCTTTGAGGCAGAATACTCACCCAACCCCTCACACCCTCCCCTCACGTCCAGCCCACAGAGTTGGAAATGTTTCTGGGCTCCATTCCCACTCTACTCGCCTCATCCCCACCCCCAACATACCATTTCCCTAGCAGACAAGGCTAACAGCTTGTCCACCAGGCAGGAGAAGGTTAAGATGTAGAGGTGCACTGTGAGGCCATGAATTTACCCGGCTTTTGCCTTTCTCAACTCTCGCTCTCAGAAATTTCGTTTCAAGGGCCTCCCTCACACTGACCTGTGCAGAGGCGAGATTGTTTTCTGCTCTTTTTCTTTGCCTCGAAGTGTCTGCAAATACAGCTCTTTGGACCTGCAAACAAAAGGAAGGGGGCGGAGAAGATAGAATTCTCTGTAGATCAACCTGTTTCAGAAACCAGACATCTGGAATCTGGTTTTCTCATCACTCTGGCAACTCCAAATCACCAACTGCCAGGTTCCCTTTTGGTTCCTTTCCCTTCTTCTAATATTTCTGTAACCACCATGCAATCTCCCACTCAAGCCTGGTCCTGGTACAATCCCCCCACCCCTGCACTTCCCTACACCACCACTGTAGCATGCCTGCATTTCTGAGGAAGGCAAACTAGTTTCAGATTTTCTTTAATTTCTCTGATTCCATCCCAGGATTTTAGTCTTTTCTTCATCCGTCAATCCCAACTCCAGGCCTACCATTTTCTCCAACTAACTGGGGAAAGGAGAAGGAAAGAGACAGCTTTCCAAGATAAGAGAAGTTAAATCCTGTCATTAAGTATTTGTGTGTCTCTAAAGACTTCCATTTGGCCCTTTTACTCCCCCTTCAAAATATACAGTTATCTCCCACCAACTTGCTGGCATTTTGGGAAAGCAAGGCTGGATCTTTCCAGTCACTACATTCAGCCACTACTACCCAGGGATCCAAGCACTTTCTTCACACAAGCCTGTTGGCCTGTAAGGAATTTACCTCTTCCTCTCCTTGGCCACAGGACACAAGTCTGCAGGGCGGCAACGCTGGTACCCAGAGGAGAAAGAAGCCCGGGAATATAAGGACTTGTGCTCTTGTCAGCTTTTGGTCATGTGAGGATTATATCATCCTCCAACTCTGGTCCCACTTCCCCCTCCCACCAGCAGTTCTATGGAAGTGGTCCGATCTACCAACCTCCAAATCCCCCATCACACCAGGCCCTGTCACTCATTTTTGTCTTTGCTAATTCCAGAGGTCAAAAGTGGCCCCCTCTCCTTAAGGTTGGAATTTGCCATTCTCCAATTACCAGGGAGCTGCATCTTTCTATACTTACATTAACTATTGCTACTTTTTTAGTGGTTATGTTGTGAAAGCGTTACCGCACCCTTTTCTAGAATGCCAGGACAGAAAAGAAGTAGTTTCTCCTTCCTCACACTCCACTCAGCCATTAATAGTTACCTTACTATTTATTCAATTCTTGAAACCAAATTGGAGGGGCTGAGGTAAGTTAGGAAATAAGGTATTGATTTTTTTATTTTTGTCCAGATAATTTTCTTTTTTCAATTTTTCCATAAGCATGATTTTTTATAATTAGAAATATGATAAAAATATGTACATCTGGAAAAAAAGATTCAAGATGGGAAGTTAAAAGACTCAGCCACCTGTTTCTACTGCTGAAGTCATAATGTAAATATAGACCCTGCAGGCGGACACATTTTTAGAAGATCAAAATGTACAGGACAATTTGAGCCTACCTTTTTGGGGGACTCTTGAGCATGCAAAATCATTCTACTAGTTAGATCACTGGAGCCATAATTCCATAGTTCCTCACCTTCAGATTTTCCAGATCTCAAAGTTTGTCACAAATCTTTACTAGTTTGATTTTGGCATCATGCCCTACCTCCTAGTTAGTGCCACGCCTACACCTTCCTCCCCCCACATTTTTACTAGCACCAATTAGTAAGAAGATTTCATTTTGACATGTCCATTTATACCTTAATCAGACTCAACTCCTCCATCAATCTCCCTAATTCCCTCTTCCTCTTTCCAAAACCAATATCAACAAGCTTCATTGTTACATTTTCACACAAATGAACTTCAAAATTTACAAAAACATAATACATAAAGAACTGTCTCTGTTCACCTTCTCCCTCCCACTAGTACCCATCACCAGATAAGCTTTGTTTTACATTCGTAATATTCATTCTTTAAGCATAGGACAATTGTTCAAAGGGGTTTCCTTGTGATATTTACACATACATATATTGTACTTTAAACAAACTGCCCCGCTTCAGTTACTACTGCTTCCCCTATCTTCCCACCCTCTATTATCCTTTATTCCCTTCACTACTGTGGCTGAAATATCCCACTTTTCCACATCATCCTCATTCAGACTTGGTTATTCATTTCTCCCAGATATGTTTATGTTTCCTCTTTATGTTTCATAAACCTTATAGAGCCATACTAAAGAAGCTGACCATTAATATACACCAACTATCATATCACAAATATTTCTTTATAAAGATTTCAATACTTAATCTAAATGTATTTGTTATTGATCTTTTTCATTTAAAAATAAGCACATACTTTTAGAAAAATTGTGGCTTATCATGAATGCAACTGGCACTAGTTAAAAAAATGATCCCAGAAAAACTATTAATTGTTGGGGTAGGGGTATAGCTCAAGTGGTAGAGAACCTGCAAAAGGCTCCATATTCAAACTCCAGGACTATAAAAAAATCTAATAGTCAGAAGCTTTTTTTAAGAATAGAGAATTGTCACAGTTATTAAGAAATTATTAAATTGTAATTGAGGCAAAAACTTATTGGTAAGTGGAGAATCACCAGATGATCCTTGAGATATTATATCTTAGTAAGAAGATATTATGCCTAAGTAAGAAGCATGACATTGAACAGATACCATTTTGCATTAAATGCATTTAATTGCCTGTTGGATAGTCTTGGATTTAAAACATGAATACCGAAATTTCTCTGTGCTTCAACTATAAATTAGGATAATAGTTTTGGATACCTCACACAGTTGTCAGGACTAAATGGCATACTTTATGGAAGGCATTTAACACATGATTGACAAATACTAACTACTTCAATAGATGACCAAGTCCCAGTGATTGCCTGCTAAGGATTTTAGAGATCCTTACAATTCCAACTCTGGCTTGACTGCCATTATGTAATAAATATAATTTCAACTTGTGGACCACTATGACAACATGTACTGGATCTTACTTTTTGCTTAGCCATCTTCCAACAGAGTGATGATTCCAACAACAGTTATGATAATATAACATACTGTTTTTATTTTCCTTCATCTTTCAACATTCATGCTCTTAGAACTTACTTCTTTTATAGGCACACCTTTGATTGACCTTCAGGTCATTTTACAGCACCTTAACTTTTCTAAGTATAAGCTTTGGTATAAAAATATAAGCAAAATGAAATATTGAGTTACATTGGACTTATTTCCCTAGTATTGATTGAGGGTACTCATAGATTAAGACAAAGAGACATCTTCCAATTGTAGCCAAATACCATCATAAGAAGCTAACAACAAGATGCATTAGGCAGCTCTGATTCACAAAATACTCATTTAAAACTTTTCCTTCCTAAATTTGTGGAAGGATTCCTACCAGGACTCCTGGTAGGAGTTCAGTATAATAATAATAACATAATAAATAATAACATAATAAATAATAACATAATAAAGTGACATAATAACACTGTCATTTGTACAGCTCTAACACAGGGCCTGGGCACTGTCCCTAAGCTCTTTTGCACAAGGTTAGTGCTCTAACACTTTAAGCCATAGCTCCATTTCTGATTTTTGGGTGGCTAATTGGAGATCCAAGTCTCATAGATTTCCTGCCCAGGCTGGCTTCGAACCCCAATATTCAAATCTCAGTTCCCTGAGTAGTTAGGATTATAGGCATGAGTCACCAGCACCCAGCTTCTATATTGCTTTTTATGTAACAAAATGTCTTTTAAATACATTGTATATATTAACTGAATTAATACTTAGAGGTATTCCTAATATTATTATTAGGAAACTAAAGAGTACAGAAATTGAATAGCTTGTATACTCACAGTATAGACAAAAGTTTCTTTTTATTTTAATTGGAAAATGAAATTTGAATATATTTCTTGTGTGCACCATGACATTTTGAAGTATCTATATCATGTATAATGTCTAAATTAAGTAAATGAAATTTATTACTTCTTTCTCACAGTGAGAACACTAAAAAAAAATCTACTTTGCTATCTTTAAGAAATTTTATCATCGTTTCCATGTATTTTTCCTAACTGGAATTTTATATCCTTCATGTCCATTATATCTCATGTCTAGCCTCTTCTCTGCTTCTATGAGTTCAACTACTTTTTAGATTTCACATATAAAGGAGAACATGTGGCATTTGCCTTTCTGCTCCTGGATTATCTCACACAACATAACATAATTTCTTCCAAGTAATTTCATGCTGTTGAGATGACAGAATTTCCCCTTTTCCTAAGGTTGAATAATATTTAATCATGTGTATATATCATATTTATAGATCACACACACACACATATATATATATCACAGTTTATCAAGTCATCAGCTGATGGTCAATTATGATGATCCGACTTGTGAATCGTGCTACAATAAACACAAGAATGCAGATATGTCTTGAAATCTTGACTTCATTTCCTTGGAACAAATAGCTAGGAGTGGAAGTGCTGGTTTGTATACTAGTTCTATTTTTCATTTTTTGAGTTGCCTCTATACTGTTTTCCATAGTAACTGTACTAATTTATATTTCCATCAATAGTGGGAAATACAATATAGTATTCGCTATATTTTAACTTTTTAATAATAGCCATTCTTACTGGGGACAGGCAATATCTTACTGGAATTTTAATTTGCATTTTTCTTTTTCTTTTTTTGGGGGGTGG